ACGACAATCACCAGAATAATTCTTGACCAACATAATCAAAGCGTAGAGCTCAGCCCTCGGGGAAGACTGCTTTTCGGTCGGCAAAGTGCCCGTGGGCCATCCGTCGATCTGCCCTGTAGCACCCAAGTGAACAACAACCCATCCACACCCGCGCAAACGCCAATCCTCAGTATGTCTCCCCCCCGATCCGTCTATGCCCCAGACGCCCCCATTGATCTTCCCCCCATCAGCCAGACGCCCCCACTGCCGCGCAAGCTGGACCAGGGCAGGCAAGTGACCACAGGAGTCCTCTAACAGAGGGAGCCCGCGGCACCAAAGACAGGGCCGTTGAGGTTCAGCCTTCACCCGACCGATCAGGTGACTGGTTCGATCCACGGCCGAATCCGAAACAAGCCGGTTGCAATCGCAATCCCGCGCTCGATGGTGCGGAAGACCCAACTGAGGCGCCGCACCGCGGGCACACGCCCGACGTTGAGGAGACATATCCAGCGCCCTTGATCCTGGACTCCGCCCAGTAGGCGCCGATGAGTACATTGCGTGCAACTCCTGCAGCCTCCTTCTCCCCGCCCGTATACAACTTCTTAAATGCTTTCCTGACTGCTGTGAAATCCACCCCCTTCTCCACCCCCGCCCCCATGTAATGATGGGCCGCTTGCTGCCAGGACATGCGCGAGCAGGGCTCCTGCAAGAGAGACCAGAGACGGAAGGGAAACTCTGCATCTGTCGCGCGCAGCACAACTGACACAGGGTCCCACAGCAAATTTTTAAGCACTGCGATGGTGGCCGCCATGGGACCTCGAACGACCTGCCATCGGTGCTGCGCGACAGAGCACTTGTTCAAAATCAGAGTCCAGGTGCGAGAAATATGCAACCGTTTTTTTAATGCTCAAGACCATTCCACAAGGTAGCACATCCATTCAATTGTTCGTACCGAAGCCTAAACTGGGGGTCATCCTTGGCAGGGCAAAGCAGGCCCAGGACCGCGGTGGTGCAGGCCTCTGGGGCCCGCCATCCAGAGCAAACCGCAGCCTGCCCACGCATGGTCTCGATGTGCGCTGGCGTCAAGCCGAGCACCTCGTGGCCCCAGGAGCCCCCCGCAC